CCCCAAAACCCCAAAACCCCAAAACCCCAAGTCTGAATTACAAAATAGAATAAATATAAGACTTTGAGGAAAATGGAAGCTTTATTTTTGTGAACAATATGTACACAACCAACATTCACCCCCTTAAGATTATGCGAAAATCAATCCTGTCAAGGAGTCATAGACAAGTGCAGAACAAAGATGCAAAAATGCTTAAAAGAATGGAGAGGTTGAGTCAAAATGGCACTGGATAGTAAGTGTAATAAAAATGCAGGAGAAACTGAAATACTTATGCAACAGAGCGAACAGGTCTTAGATAAAAATATTCTAGCGACTGGTTATCAGGCCGTTGATCTCGAGAATCCGTGCTATTCTGAAGAGTATTTCAGTGTTGTTAGTTTCAAGCTGTTCTTAGCAAAATTCAAGGCCTTGAGACTACAAAATATTGACAAGTTGGTCATAAACAAACAGCCAAATGAAAGAAGAAAGATCTATGGAGAGTACTTTACGCCTATGAAGCACCACTTGAAGTACTTAGACATCATTTCAGAAAATAAGAATGCCAAACTCGGGTGGAATTTAGCTTTTATTACTTTGAACGCATACAGAATCAAGACGCTAAATGTTCAGAATTTCATAGTGTCAATTAAGCAATTTAACAGGATTCTTCAGGCTTGCAGTTCAGCCAAACACCTCTCATTTAGTAATTGCAAGTTTATAGGCATGGATGGCTCACAGTTGAGTTATAATGCAGGAAATAACTCCAAGGGACAATCCGTAGTCAGAATGCTAAGTGTAACAAACTCCGAGCTCCAAGGTGAGTTTAGGCTGATTGTTAACACAAATTTTGAACTGTGGCTTAATTTTCTAAGAGTTTCCTAATTGTACTTCTTATTGCTCAACACTGATTAATTTATATAGACTGAGAAGAGATGTTTGATTATTTCATGAAGAAAATACAACTTGAAGATGGAGTCAAAGTGATATACAACTCCAATACTGCATTATTTAGTTAATTCAATCCAATAAGCCAATTCTGGGGTTTTGGGGTTTTGGGGTTTTGGGG